AGCCTTCTGGGTTTAGAGGTTCTTTCATGGTTTAGCGGTTTAGGGGCTTAGGGTTAGGGATTTAGGGATTTAGGGGTACCCTAAACTCTAAATTCTTAAACCCTAAACCCTAAACCTAAGTTTAGGGGCGTTTCCTTGCTCCCGAGGTCGGAACGAAGATGGCAGCTACCAGGTGGACTACGACGACGGGGACAAGTGGTACAACGTCCCACAGGACCGACCCGTTCTGGCTGTTTAGGTTTAGGGTTTAGGGTTTGGGGTTTAGGGTTTAGGGTCTGGGGTTCAGGGTTTAGGGTTTGGGGATTTTGTAGGGTTTAGGGACTGACCCATTCAGGGATTTTTGCGGATAGATCCTCAACCCCTAAACCCTGAACCCCCAAGCCGTATCGACCCATTCAGGGATTGTGGGGGTTTTGCAGGGCCCCAGAGCTTGGGGGCTTTTTGAGGTTACCAGACAGTCCAGTTTGCCCATCAACGGAGGAATGTTTATTATCTTAGATGAGGTTTCCCTTTCATGGAGTATTGGGCTTTCTGCGGAAAAGACCTATCAGGTCTTTAAGACACCTGGAACCAAGGTAACCCTGAAAGTAGTTCTGATTCCTAAACGCTAAAGCCCTAACATTTTCCGTGAAGAGGCATGCCTTTACTCTCCCTCGACCTTTTGTATGTAACCCTTTAAACTGCAAGGCTGTAAAGAACCTTTTCAACACCCTTATAATGCCGTTTAGACCTGTGTAGAACCCTCATAAAATCTTTTCGAATACTGCCGAAATTGTATAGACCGCTCGATAAAATCCCAGCAAGCCGTAGAAGCCTTTCTAAACCCTCATGAAAATCGAAAACCTTGTAACGCTGTATAACACCCTCACAAAACACCAACCCTAAACCCTAAACCCTCTCTTTCAAATGAGTATTTAAATGTTGAGCCATGTTTTCGTTCGGGACCCCCCAATGTTGAGGTATATTTTCGTATGGACCCCCCAGTGTTCAGCTAGGTTTTCGTATGGACCCCCCGGTGGTTCAGCTAGGTTTTCGTATGGACCCCCCAATGTTGAGGTATATTTTCGTATGGACTCCCCGTTGTTCAGCTAGGTTTTCGTATGGACCCCCCAATGTTGAGGTATATTTTCGTATGGACCCCCCAATGTTGAGGTATATTTTCGTATGGACCCCCAATGTTCAGCTAGGTTTTCGTATGGACCCCCCAATGTTGAGGTATATTTTCGAATGGACCCCCCCAGTGTTGAGCTAGGTTTTCGTATGGACCCCCCAATGTTCAGCTAGGTTTTCGTATGGACCCCCCAATGTTGAGGTATATTTTCGTATGGACCCGCCAATGTTGAGGTATATTTTCGTATGGACCCCCCAATGTTCAGCTAGGTTTTCGTATGGACCCCCCAATGTTGAGGTATATTTTCGTATGGACCCCCCAATGTTGAGGTATATTTTCGTATGGACCCCCAATGTTCAGCTAGGTTTTCGTATGGACCCCCCAATGTTGAGGTATATTTTCGAATGGACCCCCCCAGTGTTGAGCTAGGTTTTCGTATGGACCCCCCAATGTTCAGCTAGGTTTTCGTATGGACCCCCCAATGTTGAGGTATATTTTCGTATGGACCCGCCAATGTTGAGGTATATTTTCGTATGGACCCCCCAATGTTCAGCTAGGTTTTCGTATGGACCCCCCAATGTTGAGGTATATTTTCGTATGGACCCCCCAATGTTGAGGTATATTTTCGTATGGACCCCCAATGTTCAGCTAGGTTTTCGTATGGACCCCCCAATGTTGAGGTATATTTTCGAATGGACCCCCCAATGTTCAGCTAGGTTTTCGTATGGACCCCCCGGTGTTCAGCTAGGTTTTCGTATAGACCCCCCGGTGTTCAGCTAGGTTTTCGTATGGACCCCCCAATGTTCAGCTAGGTTTTCGTATGGACTCCCCAGTTTGGGCTATAGGGTTTAGGGCCTAGGGTTTGGCCTTTAGGGTTTAGGGTTTAGCGCTTGGGCTTTAGGGTTTAGGGCCTAGAGTTTGGGCTTTAGGGTTTAGGGCCTAGGGTTCCTGGGCTTTAGGGTTTGGGCTTTAGGGTTTAGGGCCTAGGGTTTGGGCTTTAGGGTTTAGGGCCTAGGCTTTGGCCTTTAGGGTTTAGGGCCTAGGGTTTGGGCTTTAGGGTTTAGGGCCTAGGGTTTGGCCTTTAGGGTTTAGGGCCTAGGGTTTGGGCTTTAGGGTTTAGGGCCTAGGGTTTGGGCTTTAGTGTGTCATGCTTCTTTCTGTAAGGGGAAAAGATGACACATTTCCGGCCTGAAATGTGTCATGCTTCTTTCTGTAAGGCGGAAAAGATGACACATTTCCGGCCTGAAATGTGTCATGCTTCTTTCTGTAAGGCGGAAAAGATGACACATTTCCGGCCTGAAATGTGTCATGCTTCTTTCTGTAAGGCGGAAAAGATGACACATTTCCGGCATGAAATGTGTCATGCTTCTTTCTGTAAGGCGGAAAAGATGACACATTTCCGGCCTGAAATGTGTCATGCTTCTTTCTGTACTGCAGCAATAGAAACATAAGTATCCCTAGAAATCGAGGCGTAGGGTTTGAGGTTTGATGTCGTTTGAGGGTAACGAAAAAACTTTCTAACTCTTATGTTTTGGGATTCTTTGGGTGGGTGGGTATTCTTCCAAGTTCTTACTAGCGAACTTGACTAGATACTGCTCGACCAGAGCTGCTGAACCCTAAACCCTAAACCCTAAACCCCTAAAGCCTAAACCCCTTAACCCCTAACCCCCAAACCCCTAAACCATGGAGCAACCGTCAGGTGAAGGCAAGGGAGGGCGAGCTTTCCGTCGCAGGGTCTGAGTTAAGAAGGATACAGTACTTAAAGGATCATGGGACTTAGTAACTAGGGTTATCAGGGGGGTAACTATACTTATACCTACTTATAACCCCAATTAAGGGACTTATAACTATAGTTACTAAGTCCCATGATCCTCCAAGTAGGAATTTCTATCATATCAGGGTACCATAGCCATGCGGGTACTGGAAGAGCTTTGAGTTTTTGTGGGTTTTTTTTGGGTTTAGGGTTAGGGGTTCAGGGTTCAGGGCTCAACGGAGTCTTGGGAGTCGTGGTCTGAAACCCTATATGCCAAAACCCTCAGGGCTAAAAGGCTTTGGTGTTTCGCCACCTTTACAAGGGACCTTGTTAGGAACCATATTCACATTCAGGTCCCTGTACCCCTTGAAAGCCAGTAAGCCCTAAACCCTAGATCAAGAACAACCCGAACCCCAAACCGTAAAGCCCAAACCCACTAAGCCCTAAACCCCTGAACCCCGCCAAATCCGAAACGCTGTAACTGTACCTAAGTCCGATACACTTAGGCTCAAAACCCTAAACCCCCTGAGCCCCCCAAAACCGCGAAACCCTAAACCCGATATTGAGCCAGGATGCCGTGCTTCGGCGGAGTGCCGCCGCGGCGGCAGGGGGCGACGGCTCGCAGGTCGTTAGGGTTTCGGGCTTAAGGTTTAATGTTTAGGGGTTTGGAGTTTTTGGTCCTTCTTTTTTAAGGATTTTGAAGGTAAACCCTAAACCCTAAACCCTAAACCCTAATTCCCTACAGCCTAAACCCGTTTTCAAGGCCTCAAAGGATTTTTGAAGGTACTGTCAGTAATGGGGTTTAGGGTCCGTACCGGTCCCGAAGTTCGGAGCTTTGGGATTTGAGGTTTAGGGTTTAGGGTTTAGGGGTTTAGGGTTTAGGGTTTAGGGTTTGGGGTTTAGGGTTTTTAGGGTTTAGGGTTTAGGGTTTAGGGGTTTAGGGTTTAGGGGTTTAGGGTTTAGGGTTTAGGGTTTAGGGTTCCTGTGGGCATTTCGGAAAGATGCAGCATGGACTATCCAGAAGCACCGTGACCTGTTGGTTTTGGGGAGTAGGATGTAGGCTATACGGTCTTACACTGCTACACCTAAACGCCGCAGTTTGGAAGGAAAAAAGAACCCGACACGGTAGGGTTTGCGGTGTAGGACCTTTTTGCGGACTTCCCGGTCCCCAAAAACTTTCGCGAATCCCATACACCTGACAGCTTCTAGCCTTTAGGGTTCGTTGTTGGAGGGGGTCGGGGGACTTAGTCAGTAGGTAGTAAAGTAGACTTATAAGTACCCTAAAAGCGACCCTAATTGGGGTTATGGTACTTATAAGTCTGTAAAATAACCAGTTACTAAGTCCCCCGACCCTCCAAGTAGGATTGAAGGTACGGGGAATCGGCTTCAATTAGAAGTCTTCAACCTTAAGCCATCAACCCTAGAGGTAGGTTTCTGGATCCGAGTTGCGAGCTGTACATGCAACCCGCCTCAGGGGTTTTACCAGTTTAGGGTTGGTGGGGTTTAGGGTTCAGGGGTTCAGGGGTTCAGGGGTTTAGGGTTTAGGGTTTAGGGGTTTAGGGGTTTAGGGTTTAGGGTTTAGGGTTTAGGGGTTTAGGGGTTTAGGGTTTAGGGTTTAGGGTTTAGGGTTTAGGGTTTAGGGGTTCAGGGTTTAGGTGTTTAGATGTTTAGATGTTTGTGGGTTTTAGGGTTTTAGGACCCCGCACCGAAGTCCAACTGGCCTTGGCCCTGCCTCAAATTCGATGCGCAGCCGGTTTTCAACTTCCCTTATCCTTTAGTATAGAGCCCTAACTGTTGCAATCGACAACTAGAAAATGCCGGCTTTACGGGTTTAGAGTTTCGAATCGGGGCCTTCATTGGAAAAGTCTCCATGGGCATATTCCACTAGAGTTATATGAGGGGGCTACTGCTTAGAGGGTCGGGATATTGAGTAAGATGCATCATAACCCCAATTAGGATCCCGTTTAGGGTCCTAGGCCCTCAAACCAGAGCAACCCCAAGCCCCGAATCCTGATCCCCGCGCTGCCAAGAAGGAGCCTCGAACCTAACCCGATTGGGTCTAGGGGCTTGGGGGTTTAGTAAAGTTTTAGGGCTTAAGGTGTTCATTGTCTAGAGTCTACGCTTTAGCCTGCTTCGATGGCAATGGCGGAGAGCTGCCCACAGGCCTCAGTAAGAGCCATCTTGCAGGGCACCAAAAGCCTCTTCGTGCTGGGTTTTTCGACCACTGGCGGTGGTCATGAGCGCCTCACGGCAGTGCTCACAGAACATCTCCGTGGCGAGGGGGGTCTGGATGGTGTGACTTTGTTGGTTTCCATGCCAGAGCCGTGGAAAGGTGAGATGCTTGCAGATGGTAGCGTGCCGCAAGAGAAGCGGCAGAAGGTAGATCACACGCAGAGCATCTTGGGCAAGCTTTCGCCGCTCTTGAAGCGACGCTGTCGGCTGATTTTCGTGCGCGCCCTAAAAAGCGTCACTGGCTTCTACACCACGCAGGCCGGTGCTGCAGCTAAGGAGCTGATACAAGGTTCCAAAACAGCGCCCTTTTTTCCGTTTTGTTCTTAACTGACCATTGATATCGGAGGAGCTAAGGAGCCAGGGATGATGATAATCCCTAGTAAATAAGGAGCTAAAGAGCCAAGGGAACCCCAAAACCACTGCTTGGTTAAGGTACGTACCGACTAGGATTGAATAGTAAGGAAAACTAGGTCGGGAACCCTGAACCCAACATGCTAAATCGTACACCTCAAACCCAAAACCAAAAAGCCCTTAAACAAAAACCACAGAAGGACCGCTTAAAAAAAGCCTTTGCAGGAAGCCTTCCAGGGAGCCCTTTAAAAGATGCCTGTTGCCCCTACCTTAGGATTCTTATGTAATATAAGGGAGACCCCTTACAGAGGATCCTTCTTGACCCTACTTTATGTCTCTCTTACAAAGGACCTTGCAAAGAGCGTCTTTATCCCCAGGGGTCGCTTCAATCCTATCTCTTAAGGATGTGGGAGATGGTCGTGGCACGGCCGGAGGTTTACCGAGGTGAGGAAGCCAAGCGGCAGCTTGGCCTTAGGGAAACGGTTTAGGGTTTAGGTTTAGCGTTCAGGATCTGAGATCCTAAGGGGCATTCTAGCGGTTCTTTGAAGGGTGACTTCAGGGGTTCATAGTCTGGGGTTGGGGGTTTAGAGGTTTAGAGTTTGGCAGTTCGGGGTCTTTCGGCTTGAATGCGGAGGGTTCGGGGTTTAGGGTTTGGGAGGCCTCGGGGTTTGGGGAATCCCCTACCTGGAGGCTCATGGGACTTAGTAAGTAAGGTTATAAGTAGGTTATACTTAGGATAACCCCACTCAGGGGACTTATAACCCCACTTATAGCTTACTTACTAAGTCCCATGATCCTCTAAGTACCTGAGCTTCAGGTTACTTTGCGACCGCGGCTTCGTCATCTTCGACTCACAAGCTTCGTTTTCATGGGATGATCTTGGTCCCAGCCTCCTGCCCACAGCGCGCTCTTTGATGGATGTACTGCTCCTTGGCTCTACTTGGGACACTTTGACTGAGTTTGGCTCCTGTGCATAGGGATCACACCCGGAAGCTGTTTTTTGCTTAACCTCTAGAGCAACCGTAAAATCCGTACAGCAAGTTTTAAACCCTGATAGGAACCCTTAAACCTTAAAAGGAACCCTAAAACCTCTAAGGGGGCTAGAGGCTTGCAGAAACAGCGGCGGACGCGAGAATCGTGGTCATCACGGATATGGACCCAAACCTGACCTCTGCAACGTTGAAGCTAAGAGCGGAGATGCTGAACGGAACCGAGGGGACACCCCGGTTGCATGGCTTAGACTACGAAAACCACCAGGACTTGCTGCTTCACTCCTTTGGCATCCGCGAACGAGAAGATATCCTTGCATACAAGGGCCAGTTTCAAAGGGTGTCCGAGACTTAGGGGTACTTAGAAATAATGTTCAATTTTTGGTTATTATATTCCCTAAGAGACAGCTAAAATTATGATTTTTGCTAGGGTTCTAAGTTCAGTGTAGGAGATATACTGGTACAAGATGTACCCCAATCTCTTCCGAGACGCTGAGCTGGCGACGTTGGGGAAGCTGATTCGAAGCACCTTCTTGGTGAAGGTACTGAACATGGGCAGAGAAGGCCTTAGGGTGGCACATGTTGACATTGTGGATCCTGCCTTTCGCCGCTTGAATCGTGCAGACCTGGAGGTTTATTCCTTCGCAGCCGATCGCAAGTCGGCCGTGAAGTTCCTCCTGGAGCATGGCCGCCGCATCACCAGTGAAGAGGCGGGCCAGGCACATGAGGGCATTGTCCATGCCGACGGTGCCTCCGAGGACACCATCCAGCACATCATCTACGTCTATGCGCATTTGAGCGGACGCTCCATCTTAGAGCACCTTAGGGGCACTTAGAAATAATTTTTGATCTTTGGTTATTATATTCCCTAAGAGACAGCTAAAATTATGATTTAAGTTCAGTATAGGTACTACTTTCGACACGTTCAGGAGCATCCCCAGACGCTCATCGTCGGCTGCGGCCGTGACTGGCACAAGCACAGCCGCCTACGCGCAGCAGCTGAATTGAAGGGCTGCGGCAACGTCATGCGAATCTGTCAGTTGGCCCAAGGACACTATGCGAATCATTAAGGCCCCTATATTCTAGTCAGTAACCTTAAAGATCCTTTTAAGTAACCCTTATAGAATCCTTTGCAGGATCCCTATTCTATTCGTTAAGGCCCCTAGACTATTCAAGCCTAAGACTATCCTCGGCCCAAGGACACGGCATCGTGACTGCAGGTGCGGGAGCCTGCGGTGAACTTGCGGATATGCTGTACACTTTTCAAGCACCCGTGGGAGTAGTTATCCCGTTGAACAAGCAGCACGAGCAGCAGCACAATGGCGAAATGATGCAGGAAAGCTTCTTGGCGTTCTTCTGGTTGACTCTTAGGACTTCAACTTTTTGGGTTTCTAGATGAACTATAATAAGTATATAGGCGAAAAGTTTAACTTTTAGGAGGGGCCCTAAACCCCCAAACCCCTAAACCCGAAACCCAAAACCCCTAAACCCCTAAACCTCTAAACCCTAAACCCTAAACCCCAAAACCCTTAAACGGGGTTCAGAAGCCAGCCGAGGCTTTGGGAGCAGGCTGCTCCTGGGAACCACAGGAAACGGCTTCGATATTGCAGCTGGGTTTCATTGCGTTGTTGTTTAGTGTTTTTGCAACAGGGTTCCTAGGGTTCCTTTCAAGGGAGGTACTATAAGGGATACTATAAGGGATACTATAAGGGTACTAGAATATACCTAAAGGATCGCTGGTGAAGATTAGATACTGCCCCCGTGCAGTAAGAGTCTATAAGAGGGCTACTATAAAGGTCCTAATATATCTATCTGATGAATACTATTCAACTATTATTGCTTAAAGGATCATGGGACTTAGTGACTAGGGTCATTATTGGGATGACTATACTTATAACTACTCATAGCCCCAATTAAGGGACTTATAACCATAGTTACTAAGTCCCATGATCCTCCAAGTGGTGAAGATGTATTTCACTTAAGTCGTCCCAATCCCAAGGAACGTACACGCATCCCTAGTCACCCAAAAAAGCCTTAAACCCTAAGCCTGAAATACTAAACCGTAGACTCTAAGCCCTACACCTTAAACGCCAACCATTAAATCAAACCGTAGACTCTAAGCCCTACACCCTAAACGCCAAACATTAAATCCCAAACCTGAGTTCCAAAAGCCGAAGCCCTAAACCCGCAACCAAAAGCCCGAAACCAAAACCCAGGAGCTTCCGAAATTTACGGGACCCCGATATAGCACCCTCAAATAGTAGGATCCTTAGTATAATAAGGTGCCCCTAGTTTCGGAGTTGAGTACTTGGAGGGTCGGGGGACTTTGTAACTGTGGTTATTTCATAGACTTATAAGTACCATAACCCCAATTAGGGTCCCTTTTAGGGTACTTGTAAGTCTACTTACTACCTACTTACTAAGTCCCCCGACCCTCCAAGTAATGCTTCCAGTAAATGGCTGGTTGTCATAGTTAGGGTCCGTTTTTGGGTCCCTATTCTAATACGGCACCTGTTATTTAGGGTACCCAAAAGGGGACCAACATTTTGACAACCGCCCCTCTACTATCTAACCCAAGGTCCCAAGGCAAGGCTTCATACGATTCAAAATCCGCCAAGATTTAGATGCAGGTAGGTGGGGCAATTCCAAAATAAGAGTCTAGGATGCCCAGTAGTACCCTTATTCCCTTTTTGTAGTCCTAGGTTCCTTGTAAAGTTACCCCATACGAAGAGGGAGCCCTTTTTATTCCTAGGTTACTGGGCATCCTAGGAGTCCTCAGAGAAGGAATCCCTTAATCCTTCCTTCATCCCAACTTTTGAGGCTTCCAAACCCAGACCCCCGGGAGGATCTAGAAAGTAGATCCCCTAATTTGGGGCCCTATACTACGAAGGGTACTTTATAGGAACCCCCATTAAAGGATCTACTTTTTGGATCCTCCCCGGGGTCTGGGAACTAGAATGTACCCCCCAAAAACCCTAAGTTGATTTGTAAAGGCCAGTATGGTGGCCCCTTTTGGCCCCTGAAAGAAGAATCTGTTAAGGAACCGTATCTACTAATAAACCCTAAACCCTAAACCCTAAACCCTAAACCCTAAACCCTAAACCCTAAACCCTAAACCCTAAACCCTAAACCCTAAACCCTAAACCCTAATCCGCTAAACCCTGAAGCCTGAATCCGAAGCCCTCAACCTCCCCACACCCTAAATCCCTAAACCCTAAAACCTACATCCTAGGCCCTTAGCCCTACCTGGACCCTAAAGAACCTACCTTTTGAGGGTTCCCTAAAATATGATTTCTTTATATAAGTCCTCAAGAAGGTAGGATATTTGGGGTTAAGGTATAGCTTAAGGATCCCTTTTCTATTCCTTAAGGCCCCGGTACTCGCCCAAGGCAGGGCTGGGGCCGTTTCTCGGCGAGCTCGCTCGCCGCATGGAGTCTGCCAAGGACGCCTCGCAATCCCTCTGCCTGAAAGGGCCCATAAGGGTTCCTTGAAGGGATCTATACGGGTTCATATGGGTAGTTGTCAAAATTATGGTCCTTTTTTGGGTACCCCTAAATAATAGGTGCCGTATTACAACAATGGCCAAAAAAGGGACCCAAATGTTGACAACCATATAGGGGTTTAGGGTTGAGGGGCCCAGATAATTACTTGTTTCCTTGTCATAATTATGGTCTAATGGGTCCCAAAACCCTATTCTAATCGTTAAGGAAATTATATTAGCTGCGCATTACCGAATACTAAAGGTCTAGGGTCTTAGGGTTTCAGGGGTTTGCCGGTTTAGGGTTCAGGGGTTTCGGGGTTGGGAATTGTGGGTTAAGGTAGTGCCTCGTTTTTGGTTGCTAGGGTACCATGCAGGGATTTGATCTAGGGCTGTACATTGAGGCTCTACCTTAAGGCTGGTTCTAGTTGGACCGTAAACCCACAACCCTAAACTTTGAAGCCCGAAAGCCCCAGACCCCAAGCCCTACATAGGAGAAGTACCTGCCTCCAGCGGCTGCTCGCGCCTGCATCGACCGCCTGGGGGAGAAGCCCAGCGCCGCGGAACATGCTGCCGGGCTCTTAGTGCTGTGGTAGGATCACTTTAAGGTTTAGGGTTCAAGGTTTAGGGTACGGCTCGGGGAGGGCACATAAGTGTTTTGCTTTTTTGGGTCTTGATTTCCTTCTGGAGCATTTCCTCGTCTCCACTGCTGTTTTTGAAAGGAGAGTAGAGCCTGCGGGATACGAGCACTCCAAGGGACGAACACAGGTTTTCGGCATCCTTGCAATCCTAAACTTTAAGCCTTGATCCCTAAACCCATGTACACCCTAAACCCATCCAAACCCTACGCCCGAAACCTCCTAATTACTCCCTAAACCCCAAACCCCTAAACCCGTTTTCTTACAATTTAAACCCCCGAGAGTCACCCGTAAACCCATCTACACCCTAAAGCTAATCTTCTTCAAAAAAGAGCATTAAGGCCGGGCTTCTGGCCGGGACCTCCGTGGCGACGCGGAAGCTTGGATGCGCAACGTCCCTTGAGGCTCCTGTAAAGGGTTTAGGGTTTAGAGTTTAGGGAGAAGGTTAATGGTTTAGGGTTAAGGGTTTAGGGTTCAGGAAAGGCTTATCTTAAGGGTTCCTCGAGGAGAGTTCCTTTAGCGGTTCCTGTGAGGGTTCTTTTATCAGTTCCCGGAAGGGCTCCTTTAAGGGATGTATCAGGGTTTAGGGTTCAGGGTACTAAAGTAGTTTGTTTACTGGCTTGAAGGGTTCCCCTAAACCCTAAACCCTAAACCCTAAACCCTAAACCCCTAAACCCTAAACCCTAAACCCTAAACCCTAAACCCCTAAACCCTAAACCCTAAACCCTAAATCGTAAACCCTTAAACCCCTCCGCTAAACCCCTTTGTCTATAGGCAGCTGAGTAGCAATCTCTGGGCTTCAGTCGGTGGTTGGCATGTCATAGGGATCCTTAGGGGTGTAGGGGGGAGGGGTGTAGGGGACTATATTTCCTTAAATAGGCCTTATTAGTCCTTATTATGGGCCTTAAGGCCCCCTACCCCCCCCTCCCCCTACACCCCTAAGGATCCCTATGAGCATAAGAACTTGGCACCCTTGTGTAGGGAGCGGCTTGACTTGCAACTTAGCTTCAGGCGCACAAACGACTACATTAACGTATTCCGGAACCTCCAGACACGAGAATTTTTTGACACCCAGACGCATTGCTGTCCATGTTATCTTGGGTTTCCCCCCGTTTTAGGGGGCCCTAGTGTAGAACCCTGCGAAAACCATGAAAGCCTTCCAAACCCTCGTAGAATTTAATGGAACTCCACAACCGAAGTCCTAAGCCCTGTGGGCTTCGAAAGGAAAGAACAGCTCATCGCAGAGTTCTCCGAGCTACTCCAGAGCAGCGGCATGTTCCTTCACCTCAAGATCTTGCGTCGGCACCTGAAGGCACGTGAAGCAGCATTCACACAAGGGCTGCACAGGCTACACTAGAGTCACTAGAGGATTCAGTATCTTGGGGTTTCGATGGTTAAGCCCTAGGCTCTAAACCCTAGCAACTTTGAATCCCAATTCCTAAACCTTGAATGTTAAATGCAAGACCCTCGAAGCCTAATCCGTAGGTTCAGAAGCCAAAACACTAAAGCCGAAAAACCTTCCAACACTTAAACCTGTAAGTTTGCCAGCCACCCCGCACCCTAATTGTAACACCCCTACAAAGCATTACACATCCCTTCAGAAGAAACCCATCCCCCCGGAGCCCTTAAGGGAACCATTAAAGGCACCCTTCAAGGAATCCTTAAAGGAACTCAAACCGGGGCTCCAAGGGTGCACATCGATTTGGGTCCGGCCAGGGATTCTTCCAGCTTGCCGACCAGCTGCACACTCTCACAGCGGAAGGCGCAGCAACACAACTTTTTTCCCGGGTTTTGGAAGGTCGAGGAGTTTGTATAGGGTTTGTGTATTGGGGGTTACAGACACGTTTATGCTTTTTTGCTAGTGTGTTCGCCTAAGGAAGATTCTTTCAGAAGACTTGGGAGGATCCTCCAGCACTTGAAACGGTTATTGTCTTCACACAGGTTTTCTTTCCGGATTTATTCGGCTTTCATGACGGGCTTTCATCCATGAGCCTTGCTCCAAAATCGCACGCATTCAGGCACGGCTAATGCGAAGCAGCTCTTCACCATCAACGAGTGCGCCCACTGCACCGGCAAGCGCGTCACGGTGGTGGACTGGGCACACGCCGATGTCAGGACCCTTACAGTCCTTCTTCTGTGGTTATACTACCTGGACCTTAAGAAACCTACATTTTTAAAGGTTCCCTAATATGATTTCTTTATAAGTCCTTAAAAAGGTAGGTTATTTGGGGTTAAGGTAGAGTATACCCTGAGACCCTGCTGTAGGTGTGAAGGCTGCTTTATCTACTGTGAAAACAGGGTTTCGGGCGTAAGGCCTTATCAAGTTCGAGGACCCCAAACCCCAGATCACCACCACCGCCGCCACGGCCGCCGCCGCACCGCCACACAAAAAACAATCATAGTAGCAACCACAGACCTCATCATATTCATACTATTTCGGCGAATCCCTAAACTCTCACAGCTTTCAACCCCTAAACCCTTAAACCTTAAACCCTCAAACCTCTAAGCCTCCCTTTGCAAGCCTTCCGAAGCCAGGATCCGAGAATTGCGGCACGTGTTCCGATACCTTGGAGCTGCGGAACCCCGGAGCAACAATGCCAAAACTGTTTTGTTACCCTAAACCTAAAACCCTTTTCTTCGTGCACTGCTGTTGTGTGAGTGTGTTTGGCGTGTCTTAGCTGTTTGTGTTTTCTTTTTGTTTGTTTTTTTGGAGTTTTCCCTACTATGGCTTCCTCTCCTCCCTTTGGCGTTCCTTTACCTAACGGTTTAGGGAGTGTGGGGTTTGGGCGTTTTTAATGACCGGTTTAGGGCTTACTGTAGTAACCCTAAACCCTAAACCCCTAAACCCTAACCCCCTAAACCCTAAACCCCTAAACCCTTAAACCCCTAAACCCCAAACCCTAAACCCCTAAACCCCTAAACCCTAACCCCTAAACCCTAAACCCTAAACACTGTAGAGTTTCGGGTTGAGTCTTTCCGAGGATCCGCTCATCGAGGCCTGTGTGGGTGCCTGGGCGCAGCTTCTGCGGCAGCTCGGGGTCGAGGACGGAACCCGGAAGACGCAGATTACGGTTTAGGGATGTTTAGGGCTTATATGGAGGTTTAGGCCCCTTGAAGGGATCTATAAGGGGTTCCTGTAAAGGGATCTATAGGGGTTTAGGGTTTAGGGATGTTTGGGGTTTTAGTCCTTCAGAGTTTTGGGGTGTTGGGGTTTTAAGGTTGCAGGGCTGTAGCGTTTAGCATCTTCGGGTTATGCCCGCTAAACACCCCCCAAAACCCCTTAAACCAGCTGGACCTTTACACCCGTTTATCGACCTCGAAAGGAATCATTACTGGAACCCTTTAAAGGAACCCTTTGAAACAACCCTATTAGTTGAGTACGGCCCCCACTCAGTAATAGTTGAATAATATTCACAATATAGATATATTAGGACCTTAGTAGTAGCCCTAGCATAGACTCTTACTGTATGGGGGCAATACCTAACCTAAGCCCTAAACCCTAAACCCCAAAACCCCAAAGCACTAAAACCCCAAAAAAGCACCAACCCGAGTCTGGTCGCAAGTTCCTAAAGGATCCCAGAGACTCCACTATCCCTTAGTTAAGGAATATACTTGAAATCATATAAGGGGTCCTACCATAATTTAAGGAATATTCCTTAATTCAGGGATATTGGAGTCTCTGGGCCCCAAACCCCTAAACCCTAAACCCTAAAGGATCCCTTAAAGCAGCCCTTAAAAGAACCCCACTAAGTCCCATGATCCTCCCTATAAACCCCATATTCCTTAATTAAGGGATACCTGGACCCTAAGGAACCTACCTTTTTAGGGTTCCCTAATATGATTTCTTTCTATAAGTCCTTAGAATGCTAGGTTACGGGGGGTTAAGGCATTGGAGTCTCTGGGATAGTATCCCATCTACTTTCTAGATCCTAAGCCCTAAACCCATAAACCCCTAAACCCTAATCCCTAACTAAAGATCCCCTTACAGTATCCCTTACGGTAGTATCCTTTAGTATCACTGAGCTGGACAGGCTGTGGCCGAGGGTGCGCGCTGCGAGCTGCAGGAGGCGCTCCGTGCCCGTGGTCATACTTGGAGATCATGGGACTTAGTAACTTTAAAGGGCTCCTTAAAGGGATCTATAGGGTTCCTTAAAGGGATCTATAGGGTTCCTTAAAGGATCTTTTGGGTTCTAGGGCTCTACTTAAAGGATCATGGGACTTAGTAACTATAGCCCCTTACTTGGGGTATATAAGTAATTATAAGTATAGTTACCCCAAAAATAAGCCTAGTTACTAAGTCCCATGATCCTTTAAGTAGTCGGGTTCTAGGGTTTAAAGGGATCTCTAGGGGTTTCTTCAAAGGGATCTATGGGGTTCAGGATTTAGGGTTTAGGATGTAGGGTTTAGGGTTTAGGATGTAGGGTTTAGGGTTTAGGTGGGGCTTTTCGGTAGGCTTTATCAGAAACGGTCTTACAGTTTGTAACGTGGATTTTTGACAGTTTAAAGGTTTTTTGGGGTTGGGGTTTGTTGAAGTGTATTAGGGGGTTCGGCTCCTTGAGATTTCAATATCGCTGCATTGAGGAACAGTCCCTACCTGAAAATTGCAGGGGGTTTATGCTTTTAGAGTTTCATAGGGTTATTTGAGGAATATCTCTGAACTTGTCTAGGGCTTCTTTCTCATAATCAGAGGAATCGTTTTGAATGAAGGGGTGTTGGATTCTCCGGGAAGCTGAGCTAGCACAGCCAAAACCCGATTGAAAGCAACCAGGGTCCCTTACCTGGGTTCGTGGGTAGTACCCTTTTGCCCTTTTTGTTTTAAGCGCTCCATATTAGAACTGAATATTAGGAAAAAGGGTGCCCACAGTATCAAGGGGTTGGTGAGGGACCTAGTTACTTGCCAGTCTCCGGACTCGAAACCCTCAAACCGAAACCTTCGGCAACGGGGCTTGTGCCTTCAACGGCCTGGCATTCTTAAGGCGTAGGACGTTGGTTTAATGCTTAGTATTCGAGGCGCTCTGCGGTACTTGTTCTAAATACTTAATATCCAAAGCTCCTGTATAAGTATACTATGCCTAGACAACCATACTCAAACCCTAAACCCTAAACCCTAAACCTTAAACCCTAAACCCTAAACCCTAAACCTTACTCTGAGAATCAAGACACCTTTTTGTGGTTTGCCAGGTCCCGGACACGACTGCTACTGGCCTTGCTCACGTGCCAGCGGGAGAGGCCGGGGTGGTCCAAAAAGGTCCCCTAAACCCTAAAAAGTAAACCCTATATAAGGGTTTTAGGGTTTAGGGTTTAGGGTTTAGGTTTTAGGGGTTTAGGGTTTAGGGTTTAGGGTTATAAACCGCGCATTCTTCCGATCGTACAGATGAGGGTTTAGGAGCCGGCGACTCTGTGCCCACGCCCCAAGCCCAAAATGTTTCAACCCCAAACCAAACCCCCAATTCTGTGCCTTCAACTTTTTCAGTTAGTAAACCTCATGCAGACCGTGCTGCAAAATCTGAAATGAAAGAGTTTAGGTTTATTGATCCTTACATTTCCTTGCGGCGTATTGTCAGCACCACAAGCCCTGTTCCACAGTTCTGGGCGCAGCATGTCTTCTCCCAAACCCTAAACCTCCAAACCTTAAATCCTAAACTCTAGGAGTTTAGGAGTTGAGGGGTTGATAGTTTAGGGTCTAGGGGTTTAGGGGAAACGCAGCTGCGGCAGGTCCTTTCCCCGGAGCAGTGGTCTCTGCTGGAAGCGACGGCGAAGGCGATGATGGCCCTTGCCCGAGGGACTCCAATATCCCTTAATTAAGGAATATACCTTAAATTATGTAGGATCCCTAATATGATTTAAGGAATATTCCGTAATTAAGGGATATTGGGGTCTCTGGGAAGGCGATGATGGCCCTTGCCGAGAGTGCCTGCGAGCTTTTTATTACCGGCTTCTGACCTGAGGCCTCGGGACATGCCCGTACTTGGAGGGTCGGGGGAGTTAGTAAGTAGGTAGTAAGTAGACTTATAAGTACCCTAAAAGGGACCCTAATTGGGGTTATGGTACTTATAAGTCTATAAAATAACCAGTTACTAAGTCCCCCGACCCTCCAAGTACTCAACTCCGAAACTAGGGGCACCTTATTATACTAAGGATCCTACTATTTGAGGGTGCTATATCGGGGTCCCGTAAATTTCGGAAGCTCCTGAACCCTAAACCCTGAACCTAAGCAGGCCCTCACATTGTCAGGTTTTAGGGTTTATTGTATGGGTTTGAACAAATTTAGGTTTCGGGGATTGGGGTTTAGGGTTTGGGGTTTAGGGGTTCAGGCCGTCGACAGTCCCTTTGAAGTAACTTTCGCGTTGGAGCACCAAAATCCTATTCTACCCAAAACCCTAAACCCAAAGCCCAAAACCCTAACCCTGAACCCGAAACCCTAAATCCTAAACTCTAAACCCTAAATCCTAAACCCTAAACCCTAAAACCCTAAAACCCTAAACCCTAAAACCCTAAACCCTAAATCCTAAACCCTAAACCCTAAACCCACCAACCAGGTGCAACGCTTTCTCCAAGCCCAGGGGCCTCGGCAGTGCATCAGCACAAAGCCATCTCGCCTTGTGGTGCGTATGTGGGAGTTTCCGAAAAAGGGGGGGTTACCTTTAAAGGGAATCTTTAAGGGCTCCTTACAGGGGATCTATGAGGGTTCTATCAAGGGTTTAGGGTTTAGAGTTTCCGAAAAGGGGGGTGTACCTTATTTCGGGGTCCTTAGAATAAGGATCCGTCTATTTTGGGTGCTATATTAGGGTCCCCTATTTTCGGAAACTCCCATGTGTCTGTATGTGTGGTTTCTCAGGGTTTATTTGGGTTTATACGGTTTTTAGAAGGAGTACTCTAAGGGTTCTTATAAAGAGTATTCTAAGTTTAGGGTTCTATAAGGATACTATAAGGACGCTTTAACTTATCATGTAGGTGTTAGGGGTTTCAGGGTTTTCGGCCAAAGGGCCTGGGGCTTTCGTGGGTTAGTCGGGTTTAGTGTCTAGGTCTTTGAAGGTTTCAACGGGGTATAGGGTTCAGCGGTGTTAGGGGCTCCCCACGCCCTTATACAGCCCGAAAGCCTGAACAGCCATTTCCGTCGACGCCACATGCTTCTGCAGCAGCGTGAAAAAAAGATGCGCGGGCGCAGCACCCTTCAGAAAACAACGA